ATAATAAACATATGTATATTTTCAGATCTTTATAAGTGTGATGTCAATAGCCTCATATGTAATTACGTAAAGATTGAGAACACCCGAAATCAGAATTCATTTAATAATCAAATGATTTTTTCTTTTTTTAATCGCAACTGACGAAAGTTGGTCTTACTAATTGATCGGAACATTCGGATCACTATTCCGATTTATTTATACTGTCATTTAGACAAAGTATACTGTAATTCAATGAATAATTAAGATTTAAGTAATATCGATATTTGATGAATTTAGTAATTTAATATATTTAGAAGATCTCATTGAATAATATAAAGAACAAAAAACCATTACATTATTCTTGCAAATTTACGCCGTTAGCATATTATTAAGCCATACTATAATATATTTTATTCAAATAAATATTTGGAAACATGGTTTGAAATTTTTACTATCGTTATTGGTTTGATACAAAAAATTTTATATTTATTGTTATCCGAAATTAAACTTGTATGATTGTTTAAAAACAATTTATAGTTGTAAAATGATGAAAATCACGCAGCACGCTCGATGAGATTAGCTAGTGATTGTGATGGTGCACAACCATTATAATAATATTTAATTAGACCATCGTTGAAGTCCAAATAGCATGAGTGATAGCATAATTGAATTATGCTCACGTATCTTCCTCAATGTGATTAGTTTATGATCATGTTGATGCTCAAGTATTACGATAAATTAAAATAAAATATTGATTGCAATTGATGTTTGAGCAAACGCTTTTATTATTATTACTATTTAGCGATAATTATATTTGAAATACAAAAATGAAAATGATGAACCTTCAACAATTCAAAATTTTGTTTCTTCTTTTTCAAACTTTACTAAAACTAACGAAAAACAAAACGTCGACACCAGCAATTTCGGTTTCTGGTTTCTTTTTTTCAGATTTCATGACCTTTTTATATGTTACTACAACACATTACGGCGCATTAGCGAAATTAAGCAAACAATTGGTCACAAATCCAATCATTTGGTCCCAAATTTAAATTTTAGTTACCAAATTATACCGAGTGTATCAAAAGTCCACCTTTTTTTAAATAACTTTATATAGATATCACGATGATTACCATCGTGATCTCTATATACAGTACAGTATAAAGTTATTTAAAAAAAGAGACCATGTACAAGGACTTTTGACACGTCCGGTATATTAATCAATCAATGTTAAACCTCGAAAATTTGATTATCTCAGTCAAAATCTATATATACATATTTGGTGGTCAAAATTTTCAAATTTTGGGGTAGTTTATAAATGCGTCGTAATGAAAAATGACCATCACAACTTTTTCTGAATCATGTAGCGATAAATAAATCAAATAGAGAATCTGAAGAAGTAATCAATATATAAATAAATATATATATATATTTCTGTAATCTCAATAAGGGAACTCACAGATATTATGTAATATCAACAGGGGGAGAGGGGTCAGAGAGATTTTATGTAGTATATTTAATATATATTATACTTTCTTTTGATTGGTTAATAAATCTTATGTGGGGTCCTCTTCTGATAAAAATATATTATGTAATATCTGTGAGTCCCTTAAAGTAATAATAGTAATAATTCGTTGGTTCTAGTAGATCCTTAATGCAAAGAAAGAAGTACTTAACAATTAATTTTTCTAATCAATCAATGAAAACTTTCGGCCAATAAGCGCAACCCTATGAAAAAAAAGGATGGCTGAGCCTTCATTGGTTATAAAGTTCTTCTGCTAATTAAATTTTTCTCTCTGACGTATTAAACTATCATCATTAGTGCTCCGATCTGGTTGACCGAGTCCTATAATCTTGTGATCTCAAGGTCGATCAAATGTAATTTTACAGATCATTCTGTTACATTGGCAAAATATGATTGGTTAATCGATAATCAAAAATCGTTTAACGTTAAGATTTTTTTATATGAAGCTAAATTGTAACAAAAATATTTTTATATAAGACTAAATTGGTTTTAATAAAACGTTACTATGATATCTCACAATTAAGAATCTAAGATCATAGGCCTAGCATAAACAAAATTCTATAAATCAAGAGCTTTATTAAATACATACATGGATTAAAAAAAAAAATAAAAAAATAAAGATACAGAAGTACAAAAAACACTTTAGAAACATATAAATCAATCTTAATTGAAATATTAGTTTTATTGACATCAAACTATTTGACCCTAATAACCTTAATAATAATCAACGTGACATAACTTTCTAATCACGAAATTTACAAACTTATACTTCATTAATTCGTGTTGCTAGGCTTGTTACTAAATTATTTCATTAAACTATATTACTGACGGTACTTGTCTTTGGATTATAAATAAAACATAATAAAATAAATTAGCGAAAATAACTCTTTCAGAAACAAATTACTAAACTTAATAGTTTGTGTATTTTATTTATAACTTATTGGCTAAATTGAAATGTTCGGACATACCTCTCATCTAACTTCCGAATTACTTCGTGGATTACCGAATTACTTTGACAGTTTATAAAGTAAGAAGTCGGTCTATTATAGTAATCGATCAAGGCATATTAACTTAATTTGAGTTGTTACTTTGTATGTTGTGGTTTGTTAACCTTATTTAATAAAGTTTGGCGGTTTGTTAACCTGATGCTAGAATAATGTAGTGTTTTGTGAACTTTCTAATTTTTTTTTTGCCTTCTCCTGAATTCGTATTCGTGACCCTGAATTCAATCTTGTGACGGAAAATCGTTACTTTAAAAAGACTTTATTATGAAAAGATGATCTGCAAAAATCAGCCAATCACAATAAAGCCCGCTATGCTCGTCCCGGACCAGATTTTTTAGGTTGAATCTATCGGATATAAACCCATACCCTAACCCTAATTTAACTAGGAAATTCCGAATCTATTTAAATTCCGTTTTCACTTACGACATAGATAAACATAAATGATCTAAAATATGATAAATAGATAATCTAGGACTTTAGAAATTTTCCTCGATCATCATCACAAAAATCATGGGATCACATCTTGTAAAGTGCTATAAGAGACAATTTAGAAACTCGGAAGTTTTTCCCGGTTATCGTCTCAAGAATCGCGAGGTCACACCTTTTTGCAAAGCGCTATAAACCCGATTTATACACTTAGACTATATAAAAACTCACAGGCAGAAGTTTGTCTGGTTGGCTAATAAATTCAATTTTAATTTTACGTTATTTATACAGTTTAGAGTACCTTTTAAAAAAACGAAAACTAATCATAATAATAAAAAAAAAAAAGCTGTATAGAAGAAAGAAGATTTCATTGAGCTTTAGGACTCCATAGACAAAAATAAGATCTAATTCTCATCCGTTTAAAAAAGTTAGTATAGTAATAACTTCTCAAACCCAAATAAAATCAACTTATTACTAAGCTAATTTTTTTAAACGAACGAGAATTAGATCTTATTTTTGTCTATGAGTCCTACAACTCTAATGAAACCTTCTATATGGTTTTTTTTTTTTTTACTTTATTTTGGTCGGTTTTTGTTTTTTTAAAAGGTATTCTAAATTGTATAAATACAGTAATGTAAATTCAAATTGAATTATTAGCCAATCAGACGAACTTATATGATATAAAAACTGAGTTTAAAGGATATACCGACTCCAAAACTATCCCAAATATTCAAATATTCAGTAAAATTCCTCGAAATGAATGTTCATGTTTTATTACGATAAATTGACACCAGGTATTGTTACATATAGGAGTGAAAATCAACTCCATACTAATTGTTTTTGATTGTTTTAATCGTTAATCGAGTTAAAATCAATTCAAGAAACGATTTCATATTTTTGAATTTTAGAATCGATTCTAAAAATGTAGGTATTATTTTGACACAATGTAATTAATTATGTGTCTTCTAATATAGTGAAATGATACAAATCCCAGAAGTGAATACCAATCATTTAACGAAATAGGCAGTTGAGTAAAAGAAATAAAATGGGTGCGCTAGGGGGAAACCCTGTAAGTAAAATTTTATCCCCTGATGAATCGTGATATTACGATCATCGCTAATATTGCATATGATAGAACACTGATTGTTATATGATTACGTAACAATTCATCAGGGAATAAAATTTTACTAACAGGTTTTTCTCCTCGTACACTCAAATGTATTAAATTAGATTTGGGTCAGATGAAGTGTTTATGAAATGTATTAGGTTTGCTTAAAAAATTAAACCTATCAGCTATAGTCTGTACTAAGAAGTAATATGTACGCTGCTAAAAGTACGTACTGTAATGTGTCATATCGATCGAGGTTAAATTCAACTATACAAATTTTGCGTACCTATGCGTGTTGAAAGATAATCTGACCTTTGGAACTAAGTCAAATGTGTATTTGAGATTCTATTATCGATTTTAAAATCGATTCTTACCCTAGCTAAGTAGCATTTCCGATCTCTATTTTATGGGTTTTTTTCCTCAAAGGATATCAAATAAACTCATGTCATGCACATTTCAGACACGTGCCTATATATAATTTGATTTAACATCAGTAATTCTATTACTTTTAATATAAGTTTTGATATACTTGAATATCAACTATTCTTTTAAGATAAAACATTACATGATAAAAGTTAGAAAAATTCATTATTTAAAATGGTTATAAAAGTTAAACAATGATTAAATAACAACGAAGTTTCATTGATTAAATACGTAACACAATGAATTTTCATTAATTTCATAACGTTATTCATATCGATATTGTATTTGTTAAAACCAGATAAGGTCTTTTTTGAAAAGAATTTCTTATCGAGAAAAATAAATATATATTTTAAAATTTACATTTATTAATATTAAAAGGAAATATTCTCAATGCGTGAATGCGTATTTATTCCACATAATATGTTTTGATAATTAATTGAATAGAAGAATATTTGATAAAATTACATTTTTGTAATGTTACTTTTTTAGTTTTGATTATTTTACATCACATCGAAAGTTTTATCGATCAAATTTATAACTAAAAATCAGTAGGAAGAATGATTCCAGTTTGTCGTTCAAACATGGTCTTATAATTCTCCCAAACAATACTCCACCAATCTTGCAAAAAATCATCCTGTCCTTCTAATGGTAATAGCAAATCAGGAAGTTCTTCATGTGTAGTTGTAGCCGAAATGATAGATGGTGATCTTTCAGCGTATTGAAGGTAATCACTTCCAGACACATGACTGTTCATGATAGTCTCATGACTACATTCAGATGGTAAAATAGAATCATTAACGCACTCAGTTTTAATTTTTAAAATTTCGTCATCTTCTTCTTTTACTTGAACTAATTGGACTTTCGAATCTAAAATGCTATCAACATTGGAAGCACCTTCAAAAGTACCATCATTATGCATATTTTCATCAAAACTACCACCTAGTTCATCTGTCAACTCATGAGTGCAAGTTTGATCACTATAATCAAAACTTTCTTCACGAGATTGTTGAGTTGTAACACTTGGAGGAACGGCAACAGGAGAAATAGGTGATGTTACCAATTGTTCTAACCAAGGTGGCGGCCAATCATCTAATTGAGCCTCTTCAAAATAAGTTCTTGCAGTTTCGATACATCCAGATTTTCTAAGATAGTCATAAACGAAAGCTTCAAGTAATCTTAGAGTTCTTTGACGAAATTCATTGTCAATTTCGCGTGACATTACTTTTTAATAAATTAAACGAATGATCAATGTGAAACTTTATGAATGAAAAACAAATAAATTTATGGGATCTAATATTTAAAAAAAAAACGGGAATCAAGAACTTTTTTTTTTACCTGTTTATTTGTCGAAATTTTTTTTATGCTACAACGGCTTTACTATAAAGAAATGATGAAATAAGTATCAAAGTACCAATCACTTTGTATGATAAAAGATTAATAATTTATAAACTTTATATGAATCATCAATACAAAAGAAAGATCTTTTAAATTTCATAATCTTATAAGCCATTAGAAAATTACAAACACAACTAACAAAGTCTTTTAGTAGGGTTCGCCCGAAATATGTCATTGGCCTGGTAATTACGACACATTTATTTTCTTTTGAAAATTGAATTATGTCGTCATCATATCATATTAAAAATTTATTCCTTGGATTGTTAATTAGTAAGCAAGGTATTTTGTAACGATGAGCTTTTTAGGGTATAGTATTATGATTTTTGGTTTAAAAAAAAAAAAAAAGTACAAAAGTTAAAAAAGGTTTATACTATTGATATTACGTCATATATGAATCTTTTTTAACTCAGCTTTGTTGTAAATGAGTTAAATTAATTATTGATATAATGTTTCATCATGGCTAAAGTCGAGATATAATATTTTACAGATAATGTTTGAATTTATTTAAAATAGCATTATCATTATTGATTTTCAATACAATGATATATGTATATATAAGGTATTATATATATCTATTATTTTAAATACAATATTTTAATTTATAATTTGAGCATGAAAAAAAGTTGGTTCTGTATCCAAATTGGAATATAGTATTATTTGTTTTAAAATGATCATTCATTTTATTAGGCTTTAATGTAAGGTTATAATTGGGTTTTTTTTTGGTTTGTACATTAAAAAAAATTATTAATTTACCTTTGAACTATATAATATACCAACGATTCATATTTTATGATAAGAGGATGGATGTTATTCAAATTAAGAACATCCACTTTTATTAACTACAACTAACGAATAATTCATACGTAAATGAACGTTATATCTGTATTAAGCTATGTATAAATATTTCGACTTTCACATTTAGCATGTCAAAATTCTAAAATAATGTCTAAATAGTATCTAAATGTCTAAATGTCTAAAATAAATTTATATAGATATATGCTACGTTCACTTTGCAGACAATAGCTGATTTATTCACCAATTCTTATTATACTTCTATACTATTTTTTAAAAGTACAGCCACAAGATTCTTCCATTTTCTTATATTTTCTTTCCGCTATTTTGGCAATTTTTATTTTTCATTGATAACTCAAATAGCTTGATACAAAATATAAAGACTCTAAGATCCAGACAATAAGCACGAAAAATGGTATAAAAGTATAAATAAGAACTGAGAAATAATCATTATTTTATATTATAAAAGGTTAAAAACACAGTGTTGTAAGTGCATACCCTCTCTAAATGCACGCTTAAATTTAGGCCCAAATATATACACGAACTTCATAAATGCACTGCAAAGAGCATGCACTTATGGAGCCTTTTAAATGTATACCTATGTTTAGACATTTAGTCATATAATATTTATTTCATCAAACGTTTAGACATTTAGTCAAATTTAAAATTTTGATATTTCGCCAAAAAAAATAATGCTATTTCAAATTATATTTAAACGATTGTGTGTCTAACTATTTAACAACTAATCTGTATATCGATATTTTATGCTTCTATCATCATTTTAAAATTTACTCATTCTTTTGATTTATTGTAGCATCTATAGTTGCCTCCGTACAATTATACAAGTCTTTCAATTTTTCTCTACAAACTTCCGGATCCGCTTCATTTTTTGCTAGGCATTCGTCAAAAGCACTTATAGCATCATGACATTTTTCTTTCATCATTTTGATTTCTGGAACACTAGTATTACAGAATAATCCGTTTCATTAATGGTACTGACATGAAAATTTATCATACAAGAATAAAAAAAGAATTTCAAATTTCCTACTTTTCCTCCGAACATTTTGTAAGTTCACGTTTTTGTTCGAGACATTCTGAGGCCCAATCTTTATAATGATTCTCGACACAACGTTGATATGTCTCAAGTTGTGAACTACAAAATTTTACAACTTGTATAAATGTTTCATTCATGAAAAAAATTTTTTTTTCAAATGTTTTGATTATCATTAATTTAGATGTGTGACGTAAATACATGTACGGTTCGGTATTGGACTATCGCTAATTATGGTATGACCTGTTATACATATGCTTATAAAATTTACTATCACTATTATATTATCGTCATGACCACCTTGGTCATATGAAGTTTGTCGTCACTAAGATTTATTGCTTATGACAACTCATTATACAAAAAATTTGACAATGTACCAATCGTATAAACAAAAGTTCCGATTAGAAACTTAACCCAATAGAAGATTCGTACAATAATATTGTTTTACCAAATGCATGAGAAAATGCATGAGATATTGAAGGCAAATCACTATTTATTAACATAGACTCAATGGACTTAAGTAAATTTATAGGTAATATGAAAAAGAGGTTAAATTATGCAAGAGTGGTTAAACTGAGTTACTATCTTTTTGATGTATGTTGTGAAAGCAGAAGTTACTGTCAGCTTGTTGGTCCCACGAGGGCATTAGCTTTGCCTGCCTGTGACAATTTGACAGCGCGTGTGTTAATATATTAGTACCCTGATCCGTATGTAAATCAGCAGAAACGAGTTTTCGCTAATTCCCAATGGATTAGGTTATTATTATTACGGGTGCTGTCACAAGAGCAAGAGGACCAACAGTTGATTTGACTTTAATTTGTAATTTGCATGCTTTGTTCATTTTTTTGTTTTGTACTTTTTTTAATTTTTTTTGTGATTTTATTACTATCAGTAATTTTTTTTGTTGTTCTATTTCAATTTTATCTTTCATTGTTCTTTTAGCATTTTTTTGTTTTTTTTAGCATTTTTGTTTATTATTCTCTTAGTGTTTCTTTAGTTATTTTTCATATTTTTTTACCTTTTTATTAATGTTTTTATTGTTATTTTTCAATAGTCTTTTTAATAAGAGTTAAATTACTATTACTATATTTTTACATAATAACACCTATAAGCATTATTTTGAATTTTGGTTTGAATTAAGTTTAATTTAGATTAAAACTCGAAATTACATCTTTTTTTTTTTTTTTTTGGTATTAAGGTGAGGCCTTGCTCGTATCTTTATTGGTAGTTTAAAAATTAGTAGCTACAT